GTGGTAGTGGTAGCAGCAGTAGCAGTAGCAGCTCCTCCCCATACTACCACCACTACTGCTACTACTTTTCAACTGATATCCGGATCCATATTATATTGGTACTGGTGCGAGCAACGGCACTAGAACTGTGGAGTACCGGCCTCATAATACGTCAGACTGCTGATGATATCGCCACTTCAACTCGATGCGTCGCTGTTCAAAATATCTCCTCTCACGGCAAGTACTGGCTCCTATTTCTTGCTTCTGCTGCATAAGCCATGACTATGGCCAACCCTTCTTGGTGCTGGCTTTGAATCAAACAATCCAACCATTTCTGAGCGTTTAGGCTGGTAACTGGCAGCACTAAGCACAAGCAGCGTTGCCAGCTTTCAGGCATGTTGTAACCCAAGGAAGCACCCTGCAAACACTCGACAGAAAGGGTGAGAAGATATCACACCGCTCAGACACCTTGATTATTCCTTTCTTGCCTTCGTTGCACGCCATGGCTGAAGTACACGCTGGTGGCAAACGAGGCCGGGTGTGGCAGCAGTTTGATGCTACCACAGCCTTGCATGTACTTTAGCATTCGCCTCCTTGCTCAGACAGTGTTTGAATCTGCTTCCCCCAAAGCTTCATTCATGCAGGCTGAGTGGCAGTAGATCCCACGAGTGAATCGATCTCCTGCAGCACGCATCCTTTGCCGAAGGAAAGACCTCTGGCGAACATGGAGTTCCATGGGGCTTGCTCGTTGTTCTCCTTGTGCTGTTGGGCTTGTGCTACCAGCTCCTTCAGCAGGCAGGGTAGGCTTTCGTTTAGCCGCTTTGGAGTCCCTGAAGCGATTCTTTGCGTCACACAGGAGGCAACGAGAAAGGAGGTGACAGTCCTCTTGGCAGGACAGGTGGTTGAGATTGCCGTTTTCGGATTCCAGCCAACAGGGCAGGGAGTTGGCTTCATCGGGCCGCAGGACTTCGAACTTCCATCTTTGGCGCGGCTGAATCTCGAAGCGCGCTGCCGCAGGCCGACTGTGACCGACTCTGCAAGATTTCGCGGGTGAAGATTCGCCTGCGCTGTCCTTGTCAATGGCACTTACGAAGCCATGGGCAGGGACCTCCGGAACTTCCAAGAGATGTACAAGTCCTAGCGCCTTGGACAAGCACTCTCTCGGTTTTTCGAGCTCAGTTCGACCCACGCCTCTACCGTGCCTGACACACAGTGGATACGTTCAGGACCTGCCTGACCACCCTCACGGTCAATTCTCTGCTCATCTCAGGTTTTCTTCGTGTTGGCCATCTTCATCATGAACTGGTCTGTGCGGATAGTGCTGGTGGAGCCACTGGCTCGGCTGGTGGTGGGCGTCCGTGGGGACGTGTGCCTCTGGCAGCACCAGAAACCTCCGCCTCATCTCATCCGCTCAGCAGCCTTAATGGGATGTTCAATCCGCGTGAGGTCGAGGGGTCTGAAGTGGATCCTCCTTCCGGGGGCTCTGTGACTATGAGTCTGCTTGAGCTTTGAAGTCAACCCGACTTGGACTCCTACAGCCTCATCTGTGCAGAATCCTCTAGAGCTGAACACGCTTTTGGGTTCAACACGCGCCAACCTCGAATCCCGACCGCCCTGGGTTGTTGAGCTGGCCATGGAGGTTGGTGAAGTTCTCGCAGTCGGTCCTGGAGGCGCCATTGATGCTCAAAACGCTTCTTTTCTGTGGGTTCTTCGCCGGGATGCCTCAACCAGCCATTGTCCTAGGCCAAGAGGTTTCCTTCGTTCTCGAGATCAAAAATCAAGACTTTGAAGAAGCACTTGATCGATTGAGGGCTCAGTGCAGCTAGCGAACTTAGAGAGAGTCGCACATGTGAGAGAGCCCTTTCTTGCCCCTCGAGCTCACTGCCTGCCGCAGTGACGGCCAGGCCCTCATCTACGGGACCTTCTCTCTTATCGGCATCTCCATTGCCGGCGACTTAGGGGTGATGCTGAAAGCGTGCTTTTTTTCCTTCTTTTCGGGTACGAGCTGCCCTTCAGGTTCCGTCTCAGCCTTGGTCTTGGCCGTCGGCAAACTGGTGGCGGGGCTTTGACAGCGGTCCCTTGGCTTGCTGGCACCGACTTGTGCTTTCCTCTAACCTGAAAGGTCTGAGGGCTTCGTCAGAAACATCCGAGCGGCTGAACCAGAAGCATCGTGCAATGCAACGCATAAGATGAACCGAACGCAAAGCAAGACAAGGCAACAATCATAGTCAGATGCAAGCTGAATGAGTAACGGACTAGAGCAAAGAGTCTGAAAAACAGAAGCCCTGAACATAGACTACATGGACCACAGGCGAGCACTTGGTGATGCGGTCTGACCTGCGCTGCTTCTACATCCTGTATGGGGCACGCTACATCCAGGCCAGGCCGGCGGTGTGAAAGCGAAGAATTAGTGAAGGTGCATATTAGCTTCTAGCTCCCGTCTAACTCCTCGACCAGGCCGCTGTCACAGTGCTGCTGGAACCCAAGAGAAAAGATTTCCTGGAGATGATGGAGTCTTGGCAGAACCACAAGACAAGGCTGACAACACAGCTCTCGGTTGCAGTTTTCGTCCATACCTAGGTGCACCACGTCGTCACCATCGGTGTGGCTTGCCTAAAAGGACGTTCTGCCAAGCATCTTGAGTCTGTCCTTGACGCGCAAGGTGGTGTATGTGTCATACCTCGGCGGCTACAACCGCGTTGGTGTAGTGGCCCCTTCTCGGCACGACTGAGTGGAGAAGCTGGACTTCTGCAGCGAGATGCAACGACTGCTCAAGTTGAGGTCATGGTTTTGCTGGACCCAGCTGACGTGCCACTTCATCTTGCGAAGCTTGGGCTCTTCACGACTGCCGCAAAGTCCCAAACCCTATCTCCTAGACTCCGAGACCATCCTGGACCCTAAACATTTCGACCGCGCTTGATTGTAGTACGGACAAGAAGCTCTCTAACAGCGACAGGAACCCTAAAATCTCAAGCCTAAAGCCCAAACCTTAACTCTAAACCCTCCCAGGAAGCTGTGCAAGTACACGGCCGAGCAGCTGAAGATGAACATGTGGCAGTTCGTGGCTGACAGACTCTTCGAGTTCTTTGCGGTCCTGTGCTCCGGCAGATACCCTGGGCTCGCTGGCTTGGGCGTAAGTTCGCGTCAGGCTGAAGCACAAGCTTGCAGAACATCACCGTGACAATCCTCATCATCACAATCCTCATCATCACCGCCACCAGTATCACTTCGTCCAGATCAATGACGAAGACCCTCATCACCATCGTCATCATCATCGTCATGATGATCATCATCATCATCATCGTTATCAACAGCATTAGCTTGATTATTAAAGTCGCGAGAGTGTGTCGCCCTGGCCATTTCCAGCAGCAGTAGTTACGAAGAGAATCATGCGACCGGCTAACACTATACTAGAGGAAGCGGCAATAAGACTGTGGCAAGGGTAAGTTCAGACTGAGGTTTGCAGTGACACGCCTCATCATGTTCGGGCCGCTCGGCAGTCCATGCTTTGGCTCTTGGCAGAAGCTTGTGCCTGGGTGTGATGTCTTTGCCTGAGGTACGTATGCTGGCCACACCCCGAGTTGCAATAGTGAGCCTAGTGTTTTTGATTACTTCCCCGTGTTTCCAAGCAGGTCGGCTCATATTGAGTCCGCTGCGTACTTCAAACACTCCTTCGCCGCTACCTTGTGCGTCATCTTGCTCTACCTCCTCATGGCACCTTGGCGCATGCCTTCTGGCCTCCTTCAGCGGACTTCCGGGCCTCAGTACTCTGACAGAGATGCTGCATTCGTCGAGGTCTTGCAGGTCTACTGGTTTGGCCTGATCCTGAAGGCATTGGATCCCTCCCCGAAGCTTGAACTCCCTACCCTAAGCCTCCTATCAAGATTAGAGTCTCTCCTAGCCTAAAGCAGGTCGCCATCAGGCTCCTCCGAGGGCATGGCGCTGAGGATATCCGATCGGACGACGAAGATGAGGAGCCCGGGCCTCGGACTCGTCGATATCAGGGCCGATCTTACTGCGTCTTGCCCAGGCCGGAAAAGAAGGACAGCAAGAAAGATTCCTGAGGGTTGCAAAGGACCAGCCAACGGCCTGGTCGTTCCAAGGGGCAGATGCAGTAGAACCACAGTGCAGGTTTCTGTGAGTTGAAGAAACCCTTCCCGCATCGCAGTTGCCTCGCCACGCTGTTTTAAATTCGCGGCTCAGGAAAGCCTGTGGCTGCTAATTTGCATCGAATCGTTCTCGGCTGGTGAAGCTGCGGCGCAAGTGGTGCAGCATATTACAGTGTTTGTCGGGCCATTGACTACTGGTTGTCCAGGTGTTCGTCACAGCTAGGCCCTTTTCTGCTCGATCTGTTCTGTTGGTTTTTGCAGTGTTGTGCTGCTGTAAAGCAACGCCGGCACAAATAGTTGCTTGATCCAGTGTATTTGCCAAACCACGCTCAAACTGGTTCGTCCCCCTCCACACATAATACTTACCTGCCTACTTACCTGCCTACCTACCTACCTACCTACCTACCTACCTACCTACCTACCTACCTACCTCCATCCATCCATCCATGCATGCATCCATGCATACATGTATACACGCATACAGGCATAAGACACACACACACACATGCATGCATACATGTATGCAACATACACACACACACACAGACGCCCGTGCGACCATGCATGGGTACTACATACATACATACATACATACATACATGCATGCATGCATGCATACATACATACATACATACATACATACATACATCTGTATGGGCATGCATAGCCAGTGCACATACAAACACACACGCGCACATGTTTAGCAGATTCGCTGATCGAAATCTCGCTGCTCCGATTCTGTAGCCCGCCGAATCGCGTGGTAGAGAGGTTCCCAAGATGCCACGCCGCGGCCTCCCCATCTAGTGTGCTCGGATACAGCCTGACAGCGGCTGATCCTTCGCGGCACCGTTTTGCGTAATTCGCCAAGCAGCGTTGGAAGCTGGAGACCTTCAGCAAGCCGAAGCCTTGCCAAGCGAAATGAAGAATTGCAGCCGCAGGGAGGTAGAGACTAGAAGGGCTCGAACGAGCAGCAGCCCGACGGCGGCCGTCAGCAGGACGAGTGTTTCTTGGCCTACTCGGTGCCCTACTCCTACACCGACCTGTGTTGGCCTCGGCATGTTGCTGCTGCACGAGAAAGAGGACAGTAAATGGAAGCACTGAGAGATGAAACTTCAGCATGCTTATCACGATGAAAAGAAGCGCATAATTCAAATAGCATTGAGGTTCTCGATCAGAATGGTGCTGAGATCCTTTGAAGCTTCAGAAGTTGGCCCTTGCAGCTCGAGGGCTTTTCTCTACATCACGCAGATGCGCACCGGGGATGTCGACGGAAGGATGGGAGCCCTTGGTAAGCTAGCCAGCGCTGTCATCACCTAAGTTGGCCAAAGCGACCTCGAGGCCTCGACCGAAGGGAGACCCGAGCCAGCTTACAATCGGAAACCCGCAACACCCCAAAACCCCCAGAACCTGGCACTGGATTCTCCGAGGAGGTGTATTTTTTTTGGGACTTTTTTTTTTGAATTCTTTTTTTTAAAGGTTTGGGGCTTAGTTCTGTATTTTACTAGGAAATACTACATTTTCTTTTTACTTTAAGAGGAAAACCTTACATTTTCTTTTTACTTTAAGAGGAAAACCTGCATTTTCTTTATTTTTCGCAAATTTTCAATATTTTCGTAGGAAAACGTGAATTTTCTGTATTTTCAGAGGAAAATCTTTATTTTGTTTTAATTTCACAGACAAAACCTTAATTTTCTTTATGTTTTAATAGGGAACCTTATTTTTCTCTCTTTTCTTTTGTAAGAAATAACTATCA